CACCGTCCGAGCGCAGGCGAGGGAAAGTGCCCGCGGGGCCCTGCCCAGCCGGGCGCAAACCACGTTCCCTCGTGGATGAGCTCTGAGACCCTTCGCTGTGCCTCAGCCTCCTCACCTGGGACGCGGCGTTAGTATTAGAACCCGCTTCGCGGGGTTTTTTATGAAGATTACACGAGCTAATTAATGTTCAGCATTTTAGTAGTTGGGTTTGGAACATAGTGCTTATTGAAATTATGTCATGGTAATAAGAGCATCTGGTTTTTCACACATTCTCTCCATGTAAAGAACAAACAAATCTTTATCTGGCCCAGGAGAGCAACGTCTAGAGGTCACAGTCAATAGGGCATCTGGCTGGCCTTCGGGCTGGCGGCCAAGGCAATGGGTGCTGCCTCCAAAGTAACTGTGTGTCAGACGGGTGGGGACGGAGTTGGCTGTGGAAAGGGAGTGAAGGCGAGGGAAGCGGGGAGGGAGGACTGTTAAGGGCAAGTTGAAACCAGGGAATCCAGGGGCCCGATGTTGGGGTACCTCTGAAAGGATGAGTGATCTAAGAGAACAATAATGCAACTGCCAGATATTTACCCTTTTTTAAAAAAAAATTTTGGGTATTTTGCAATTACTTTAAACCTTTTGTACATATAATAAATGTCTTCTTGGAAGGAGGAAGCAGGTTATAAATTAGAATGGTGTTTAAGTGGGAGTTCATTACTTAGCTTATTGGAAGAAGCTCTACATGTTGTTTCATAAAATACATACTAAGAAGCTGTGACCCTAGGGGCCTGAGTTTGGTGGGCAATTGCTCTTCCTAAGATTTAGTAGATTGCTAATGGTTTAGCCCTTTTTTTATGTGCTCTCTCCCCCTGGTGGTTATAAAACCTGGCCTCACTTCCCTTAAAGGAACTTCCTTTGTAATTTCTCTGTTGGTTACTGCTCAGAGATAAGATACAATTTAGGATCAGTTTCCAGCTCACAGTAGGCCTGTTGTTATCTTTAGTCTGTCCCAGGTTACATAACTGCATGAACACACAAGTCCATCCTCACTACTTGCGAGAAAAAAAGTTCTTCCTATTTCTGAAAACAAATCTTGACAAACACCAATATTGGGTCTTTTGATAAGGTTGGTTACTTCAGTGACCATTTTGATAATTTATATCACCTATCAAAGAATTTTTACCAGCTTGTGCTATATTTGTCTATCTCACCTGAAATGCTCTCTTTCCTCTTCTCTACCTAACCACATTCTATGTACCTGGAGGCCTAACTCAAATCTCACCTTCTTTACTGGACATATATTTCAGATTACCTTGATATATTTCTTCTCTGACCATCAATGGCATTTATCAAGTACCTTACTATTTGTATAGATAGATGCTACCTAATTTCAGCATACACATCTTGATTAACAAGATTGGAGAATGGTCCAGGGCAAGAAGCATATTTAACCTTTCAGATTTCTCTCGTTATCTGTAGTGTTGGGCACAGAGTAGATGTCTTGATTGTCCCTATCAGAATACAGAGCTTTTGAAAAATATCAGCTTCATACTTTTTAAAGTTGAATGGTTAGGAACCTCTATTAAAAGGAACTCATAAAAAATTTCATCTCTAGCAAGTATCACAATCAGACAGTTTATGACAGGGGTGGGCAACCCCTGGCACGCGTGCCAAACATGGCACGCCAGTAACTTTTGCTGGCACGCGAAACCCTCTCTTTTACATTTACAATTTTTTTCTTAATATCGACTTTTTTATTTTTCAGATAAATTCAGTGTAGGTGCATCTTAGATAAATAAATAATTTTACATAAGTTATCTTAAAGACCTAAATTTAAGTTATAGCCTGGCTGGTGTGTCTCAGTGGTTGAGCATTGACCTATGCACCAAGAGGTCTCTAGTTGAATTCCCGATCAAGCACATGCCCGAGTTGCTGGCTCATTCCCCGGTACAGGGTGTGCAGGAGGCAGCCGATCCACGATCTCTCTCATTAATGTTTCAACCTCTCCCTTTCCCTCTCTCTAAAATCAATCAAGACATATTTTTAAAAATATTATAAACAAACAAAACAACCAATCAACACCTCTGGTTTCTCTAGCAATGTAAACTAATGATGAGTAAAATTCTTTTGGAGTTTTTAAAATTTTTATTAAGGTGGTAATCTGCCATCTTTCACTATTAAAACATTGAAAATATAATTTTGGAGAATCACATATCAGGTTTATATCTTAACCAAGTTCACCCTACCAAAATTTGTAGTAGACTATTTGTGTTTAGGAAATTTATCCCATATTCATTCTCATATTTTGATGGGGCCAAGTGCTGGGGGAAAATGAGGATACTAAAAAGAGAAGGGAATTAAAACTTATTTTCTGGAAAGGATCTGATACATAATTGATAAATTTTGTGTGAACTGGTTAGTATGTTACCTTTTCCAGGGTTCTTTCCATTGTAATCTTAATTTTTATGTATTTTTTAATATATTTTTATTTATTTCAGAGAGGGAAAGAGAGATAAAAACATCAATGATGAGAGAGAATCATTGATCGGCTGCCTCCTGCACGCCCCCTACCGGGTATATGCCCTTTAGAGCAGTGGTTCTCAACCTTCCTAATGCCTCGACCCTTTAATACAGTTCCTCATGTTGTGGTGACCCCCAATTTCATTGTTACAAATTGAACATAATTAAAGCATAGTGATTAATCACAAAAACAGTATGTAATTATATATGTGTTTTCCGATGGTCTTAGGCGACCCCTGTGAAAGGGTTGTTCGACCCCCAAAGGGGTCGCGACCCACAGGTTGAGAACCACTCCTCTATGCAGTAGGAATATTAGATGCTCTATCTGAGCCAAACCGGCTAGGGCTTAATCTTAATTTTTAAATAGAGTACAAGATTGCCCATTAAAGAAATTTTGAACAAGAGTACATTAGATGATGAACATCTGGGAAGCAAAGGAAGTCTTTTTTAAAAAGTTATTTTTATTGATTTGAGAGAGAGGAAAGGAAGGAGAGAGCAAGGAAGAGAAGCATTGATTTGTTTTTCCACTTACGCATTCATTGGTTGATTCCTGTATGTGCCCTAACTGGGGATAGACCCTACCACTTTGGCATATTGTGAGGATGATCTAACCAACTGAGCTACCTGGCCTGGGCAAGGAAGTCTTGATATGAGACAGCCTTGAGGCTGGCCTTTAAAAAGTATTGGATATGCCTTAGCCAGTTTGGCTCAGTGGATAGAGCATCGGCCTGTGAACTGAAAGGTCCTAGGTTTGATTCTGGTCAAGGACACTTCCTGGGGTTGCAGGCTTGACCCCCAGTAGGGGGTGTGTGGGAGGCAGCCCGTCAATGATTCTCATAATTGATGTTTCTATCTCTACCTTCCTCTCTGAAATAAAAAAATATATATTTTTTAAAATGATTGGATATTATAGGGGGGAACAGTTTATAATTCCTCTCTATTTTTTAAATTTTTGTTTGTTTATTTATTTAGGCTATTTCAATATCTTAAAAGATTAAATATACACCATGATGAAAACATCCTCTTTTGTCCTTTAAAAATAATATTTTTCTTAGAAGTAGTTTACATTACTTGGTACAGATTAATGTCAATTCTAATGAGTGTGTTTTAACAGGTTTGATCCATCTTCACATAAATTAGAAGAAAAAAAATTAGATTTTCATGTCCTTATAATGACCTTTTAGAGGCTACCAAAGATCCTGGATCTATGAGGACTTCAAATATGCTCTAAAAATTACATTCTAATTTTTTTAAAACTGAACATACCTTCTACTATTATGTGCTATTTTATTTTTTTAATATTTTTATTGATTTTTTACAGAGAGGAAGAGAGAGGGATAGAGAGTTAGAAACATCGATGAGAGAGAAACACCGACCAGCTGCCTCCTGCACACCTCCCACTGGGGATGTGCCCGCAACCGAGGTACATGCCCCTGACCGAAACCGAACCTGGGACCTTCCAGTCCGCAGGCCGACGCTCTATCCACCAAGCCAAACCGGTTTTGGCTATTATGTGCTATTTTAAATGCAACTTCCTGTCCTCCATTCCACTTTATTTCTTGTTTCTGGGGTGGTGTACCTGAGAATCTCCATATTTTTTAAAAATTATGATAAAATAAACAAATCATTTTTTAAATCTATTTTTATTCATTTTAGAGAGGAAGGGAGAAGGAGAGATAGAAATATCAATGATGAGAGAGAATGATCAGCTGCCTCCTACATGCTTCACACTGGGGATTGAGCCTGCAGCCCAGGCATGTGCCCCGACCAGGAATTAAACCATGACCTCCTGGTTCACAGGTCAACACTCAACCACTGAGCCACACCAGCTGGGCATCATCATTTTTAACATGTACCACTGATAATTAGAATGCAGAATTTCAGAGAACCATTTTTTGAGAATTATACCTCATAAAGTTTCCTTTTACCTGGCATAACAAGTTCTCTTTTTTGCCTCATTTATTCCAGAGTTAGAGCTAAAGAAGCCAGCAACCTGGATACACCAATGGGCACAACAAAAGAGCCTCAACAAAAGCTTGCTCCCTCTAGTAAGCGAAGTATGAAGACTTCATGGTAGGAGAACTTGTTTCTAGACTGGCTCTGCCATTAACAAATTGCAACTTGGTAGATACTCTCTCCAGCTCTTCATTATCAGCCAATAGCTAAGTCCAGCATTATGATTCCAAGTTGGATGAAGAAAGGAGTTGTGTTTAAAGCAGTTTACTTTTATTGCTTAAAATAGAAATAATTGCACACTGGAGAATATTTGAAATTAAAGAAATGCATTTAAAAAATTCTACAATCCAGAAGTAATCACTATTAACATTTGAGGCATTTAAACATTTTTTAAATTTAAATTCTTTATTGTTTAAAGTGTTACATGAGATGACTCTCCTTTTTTTCTCATTGACCTCTTCCCGGCCACTCCCAGCCCCTCAGCACATGCCCTCACCCCTCTACTGTCTGTGTCCATTGGTTATGCTCATATGCATGCATACAAGTCCTTTGGTTGATCTCTTACCTCCTCCCCCCCCCATCTTCCTTCATAGGTTGGACAGTCTGTTCAATGCTTCTGTGTCTCTGGTTCTGTTTTTGTTCATCAGTTTATGTTGTTTATTCTACAAATGAGTGAGATCATGTGATGTTTATCATTCTCTGACTGACTTGTTTCACTTAGCATAATGCTCTCCAGTTCCATCCATGCTGTTGCAAATGGTAAGAATTCCTTCCTTTTTACAGCAGCATAGTATTCCATTGTGTAGATGTACCACAGTTTTCTAATCCATATTCTGCTGATGGGCACTTAGGCTGATTCCAAATCTTAGCTATTGTAAGTTGTGCTGCTATGAGCATAGGGGTGCATATATCCTTTCTGATTGGTGTTTCTGTTTTCTTGGGATATATATTACTGGGTCAAATGGAAGTTCCAGTTTTAATTTTTTGAGGCAACTCCATACTGTTTTCCACAGTGGCTGCACCAGGCTGCATTCCCACCAGCAGTGCACGAGGGTTCCTTTTTCTCTGCATCCTCACCAACACTAAACATTTTTTAAAAACAGTGCACATATTTTATCTGAGATCCTACTGTATGTAAAATTTTTCATTTGCATATTTTACTTAACGCTAGAACATGTTACAAACCCGTTATAAACATTTTATAGTCTACATACTCTTATTGTATAAATATATCATCATTCACCTAACCATTTCATTATAAAATTTATAGGGTTTTTTTCCAATTGAAATCATTAAAAAAACTTTATTCATGGCAACTCTTATATTTTGCCTCTTGTGGCATTTATTATTTTTTTAAATTTTAATTATTTTATTTATTGACTTGAGAGAGAGACACAGAGAGAGAGAGACCTCAATTTATTGTTCTACTTATTTATGCATTTATTAGTTGATTCTTGTATGTGCTATGACCAGAGATCAAACCCACAACTGAGGCATATCAGGACAACTCTCTAACCAACTGAGCTACCCAGTAAATGCATGTTACTTTTAGTTTACATTTCTTTGGGACATTGACTAAACTATTTGATAAGGCCCTTAAAAATAAAGGGTCATTTGGATCTTTGGAACCAGGCATTCTTCCTATGTTTTCTCCTAAGGCCTTGCAATTATCTATAGTATTGAGACTTTAAATAATGGGATAAATATTAACTAAGGTAGCCTATTAAAAGTAAATATTAAAAGGAAACATAATCCCTAGCTGGTTGGCTCAGTGGATAGAGCACCGGCCTGCAGACAGAGGGTCCTGAGTTCAATTCTGGTCAAGGGCACATGCCTGGGTTGCGGGCTCGATCCTTAGTAATGGGCATGCAGGAGGCAGCCGATCAATGATTCTCTCTCATCATTGATGTTTCTATCTCTCTCCCTCTCCCTCACTCTCTGAAATCAATAAAAATATATTAAAAAATAATAACGAAAAAAATAAAAGGAAACATAAATTAGGACTTAGATTTGGTTTGGAATTACAATTTTGCTTCTTTTGTAAGTCTTGTTTTCTTTGTGTCAGGAGGCTGTAAGTGAGTGTGTGTGTGTGTGTGTGTGTGTGTGTGTGTGTAATCATGTAATGTGATTCTTTTTTTTTTTTTTAAATATTTTATTGATTTTTTTAACAGCGAGGAAGGGAGAGGGATAGAGAGTTAGAAACATCGATGAGAGAGAAACATCAATCAGCCACCTCCTGCACACCTCCCACTGGGGATGTGCCCGCAACCAAGGTACATGCCCTTGACCGGAATCGAACCCGGGACCCTTCATTCTGCAGGCCGACGCTCTATCCACTGAGCCAAACCGGTCAGGGCAATGTGATTCTTCTTAACTAAATAAACATTTATTGGGAAACACTTCCACAATGGCAGAGTAAGGACTTCCCAAAACCTGCTCCTCCATAAAGCAGTGAAATAACTGGCAATAATTGTCTAGCTCAACTTTTTCAGAATTCTAGAAAGTAACCAAAGCCTTGCAACGACCTGAGGACTGTTCATTTGAGAAAAATGGCTGAATCTCAGAACAGAGAGATTTGTGATGTTTATTATTTTTTTTATTGATTGATTTTAGAGAGAGGAATGGAGAGAAAAAGAAAGAAATCAATTTGTTGTTCCACTTATTTTTCATTCATTGATTCTTTTTTTTAAATATATTTCTTTATTGATTTCAGAGAGGAAGGGAGAAGGAGAGAGAGATAGAAACATCAATGGTGAGAGAGAATCACCAATCGGCTGCCTCCTGCACGCCCCCCACTGGGGACGGAGCCTGCAACCCAAGCATGTGCCCTTGGCCGGAATCGAACCCGGGACCCTTCAGTCCGCAGGCTGACGCTCTATCCACTGAGCCAAGCCGGCCAGGGCCATTGGTTGATTCTTGTATGTGCCCTAATCAGGGATCAAATCCACAACCTTGGTGGAGGGGGACAGTGCTCTAACAAACTGAGCTGCCTGGCCAGGGCTGAGACTTGTGGTGTTTAAATTGCTCTGTTACACTCTGCCAGCATGGCTCAGAGGTTGAGCATCGACCTATAAACCAGGAGGTCAAAGTTCGATTCCCAGGGCACATGCCCAGGTTGTGGGCTCGATCCCCAGTGTGGGGTATGCGGGAGGCAGCCAATCAATGATTCTCTCTCATCATTGATGTTTCTCTCTCTCTCCCTTACCCTTCCTCTCTGAAATCAATAAAAAATTTGTTTTAAAAATTTGCTCTATTCCCATCCCACTCTCCCTAGCTCTACAGTAGCCTCAAAAACCAAAGTAGTATCTATAAAATAGCAGCAAAGCAGCCGCGGGATAGGGTTGAACAGGTTTGGAGCACCTCAGAAAGTCCCATTGTCTGAGAATTGTCACTATTTAACCTGCACAGCAGCTCTCCGAAAAGCTGCATTCACAGGACTTATCTTTATTTGACCTGATTCAGTCTCTCAGGCCATGTAAGTTTTGTCATAGAGGCAGCATTTTTAGAATTCTCTGGGATCACATAAGAAGGATGGTCATACTCTGTCTAGGGGGGGAAATAGAAAGCTTCTCAGTGGGTCTGTGTTAAAGTTGAGCATTAGAGGATGTTTACCACATAGAGGAGGAAGATGAGGAAGTAGAGCACTTCCAGGCAGGCAGAAGAAATATCATAAGTAAAAGCATGAAAAAACATGTCTAAAATGGCATACTCAGCAATAAAAAGCTGTGTGGCTATGGAATAGAGTCCATAAGGGTAGTGATTCGAGAACTGAAGAAGTTAGGTGAGAAACATAAGGTGGCTACGTCATGAGGGGTCTTTGGTGATCAGGAAACAAACTCTGAGGTTGAAAAGTTCAGTAAATGAATTAATAAACTCATGAGAGGAACTCAGTATGCTTTTGAACTGACAGAAGAAAGAATAAACAATCTTGAAGATAGATCAAGAGATTATGCAAACTGAAGAACAGAGAAAAAAGAGAATGAATAGAAATAAGGAAAGTTTCAGAAGAAATGTGGGACACCACTACTAGCACAACAACATATGTGTAATGGGAGTACCAGAAGGAGAAGATAGAAAAGAGCAGAAAAAAATATTTGAAGAAATAATGGAAAAGGGAGGTGTGTATTCTGTTCTTGCCTCTTGATAGACCAGAGATCATTTTAAGCCAATCCATGATGACTGTGTTCAGGGCTAGCTTTAAGTTTTTCTATGCCATAGTTGACACCTCAGTGGTTATCATGCACTGAATATTTTTGTCCCACCAAATTAATTTTTGAAATCCTAACCCTCAAAGTGGTGGTATTTGGAGATGGAAACTGAGAGGTAATTAGGGTTAAATAAGGTCATTAGTGTGGGGAGAGTCACTAGAGAGCTTGCTCTCATTGCCATTTGAGGACATAGCAAGAAAGCAGCCCGTCTACAAGCCAGGAATCTTGTTCTGGGAATTCTAGCCTCTAGATCTGTGAGGAAATAATTTTTTTTGTTGTTTAAGCCACCTAGTCTATTACATTTTGTTATAGCAGCTAATATAGTAGTGCTCAAGTACCAGTTACAGTGATGATTTTTCATCTTTCTCATTGAATGGCAGTGTTTGTTCTTAAGTAGTATGGGCATACTTAACAAAACAAGCAGGTTTTTGCTTTGCAGTGCTTTGTGAATGGTGCTTTAATGCATAATCTTTTTGATAGTGGATTGTTTGCAAACTCCTATGATAAAGTTAATGCATTTGCATTAGCATTGGTTGTGCAAAGCCCTAACATCCTGACTTCTACTTAAGTCAAATAACATTATCTTATAATAAACTTGATGGAGGACTGGCATTTAAAAGACTTTATACTGATTGGCCCATTTACAGTTTTTAAGTCATTGATAGAGTGTATGTACACAAAGCTAATTTTAAAAATTCATTCTGAAGCCGGGTTCTTTCTGTTAGGCTGTTGCTAGTGTTTTGAATTCTCTTGCTTCACTGCTTAAAGACACCTGCTCTCTGATAATAGCCCATTCGCTTCCATAGAGTAAATGGAAATTAAATATGACAAGAGACTCTGGTCTGTGGAGAAGCACAGTGAGAACTAAGAGAGTGATATGCAAAAGATGGGTAGTATAAGAGAGACTTTCTTTTAAAGACAGAGACAGTTCCTAGCTGGTTTGGCTCAGTATAGAGCATCGGCTCACAAGGGTCGCTGGTTCCATTCTGGTCAAGGGCATGTACCTCATTTGCAGGCTTGATCCCCAGCTCTGGTTGGGGGGTGTGCAGGAGGCAACTAATCAATGTGTCTCTCTCACATCAATGTTTCTCTCTCTGTCTTTCCCCTTCCCTTCCTCTCTCTCTCTCTCT